AGTCTGGCCAGATCTCCCATTTCTCTCTTCTTTCTGCAGTCAGCTGTAGAGCCTTGCCTGCTTCTGACTCCTTTCTAAAGTTGCTGCTCACTGTAGTTTTTAGGAGTTTTAGTTTGAGGCAGGTAAGACATACTTTCCCAGTTGCTCTCGCAGAGGTCAGATTCATTTCATTTTGATTCTAGTTAAGGGGAGGTGTGTGGGAATTTAAAAAGAGAGAGAGGTGTTACAGATTATGAAATCTTACAGTTTTTTTTACAATAACATCTTGATCTCTAACATTGGTTCAAGTTAGCTCTCAGAGTTGCTGATTAAGTAGTTTTGGGGTAAGGCTTGAAGATTTGCCCTTTTTTTTTTTTTTTTTTTTGAGACAGAGTCTTACTCTGTTGCCCAGGCTGGAGTGCGGTGGCAGGATCTCGGCTCACTGCAACCTCTGTCTCCTGGGTTCAACCAATTCTCCTGCCTCAACCTCCCGAGTAGCTGGGATTATAGGCATGTGCCACCACGCCCAGCTAATTTTTGTATTTTTAGTAGAGATAGGGTTTTGCCATGTTGGCCAGGCTTGTCTTGAACTCCTGACCTCAGATGATCTGCCTGCCTCAGCCTCCCAAAGTGCTAGGACTACAGGCGTGAGCCACCGCGCCAGGCCGAAGATTCGCTTTTTTAACACATTCTCCTCTGTCTCTGGAGCACTCAATCTTTGCCCACATTATAGCCCTTAATTATTTTATTATTTTTTTGTATGTTGATTTTGAATCCCTTTTTCTAGTTTTCTAACAGAAAATATAGGATTTAAATCCTCTGGCATTTATCCTACTTACTGAACACGTGGTTAGTACTTTGTATTGGTTAACCTATTAAAATTTTTGCCAAGTAAACTTTTTAATATTTCATCCTCCAATGTGCAATGTTTTTTAAAAACTTTTTTTCTTTTCTAGGTATTTAATACAAGGCTGTTTAAAATCAAAGACAGACACTTGTTTCTTACCTATTTAGGAAGAGCACAGTATGATCCAGCAAAACCTAACTACATCTCTTTGGACAAACTCGTATCTATTCCTGATGAAATATTTTGTGAAGAGATTGCCAAAGCATCAGTACAAGACTTTGATAAATTCTTAAAAACGCTTTAGATTTTTATGTATGTGAAAATGCAATATTGTAAAGTGAATATATGTATGAATAAATGAATATATTTTTAAATACCTCGGGTCTCAACTGATATTGGAAACCATTTGATAGTGTAAATTTGGGTATATATACTGTGGTAGATTTTTCATCAAGTTCCTAGTGACTCAATTCTTGTTTACCTTTTCCTTCTTAGAAAATACAGCAAGTTCAGAGAAAGGGAGAGAGTTGGTTTACTTTAAGTTGGTGCTTTGTCATTCTAGTGAAGATGAAAACGGAGGATTTTAAAGTGGTTTCATTATAAAATGGCTTTATTTCATTTGAACTGTTACAAGTTTCCAGAGCACATACTACATTAGTCATCTAATATCTACAGCTCAGATAATGCCACAAAGCACACTTCATTTTGGATTATCTACATTGTTAACTTCTTGAACACAGATATTTACAGTTGGCTAAGAATCAGGAAAAGGAAAGTGGAGTTTAAAGATTAGGGGCAATGAGATATAGTGAAAGGCTTAACTAGCCTTTGACTTATTACCAGTAAAAAAAGATTTGTTTTCTGTTTATGACGTGTTATCCTGGGCAAGTGATTTCATCTCTGAGTCTTTGCTTTTTTATTTGTAAAACGAAGTATCACAACTTCAGTTGTCTGCGTTGTGATCACTAGGTTGGGTAGACTGTTAACACTGGTAACCCCCATGAACCACACCTGGTATTTGCACTGTTGTGTAGTTAGCCCTCTTCCACACTGACTCTGGGCCAATGTGATTTGGCCCAGGGGACATTTGTCAAGCACAGGCTTGATAAGAATTTGCACATCAGGGCTTGCCCTCTTGGAACTTTTGCTCTTGGCACCCTAAGCTACGGTATAGAGAGGTCTGGTTACTCTGCTGGAGAAACTAGGTGGAGAGAAAGATGTCTGGCCAAACCCCAGCTTTTTCAGCCATGCCAACTGAGTACCAGACATGCATGAAGAAGTTATCTGGGATGTCCCAGCCTTAGCAGACACTACACTAAGCAGAACAACCCAGCTGAATTCAGAATTGGGAGAAAGTGTTTTAAGTCACTAACTTTCGGGGTAGTTTGTTGTGCTGAGGGTTTTGTGGTGTGCTGGATGCCCTTCAAAAAACCTCATGAAAAACTAAATTTGTAATTGGTCAGGGCCAGGTATAGTGGCTTTCCTGTTACATATTTTATTCATGCAACCGACATTTGAGTTCCTAGAATACAGTGGTGAGTGTGACATAGATAGGTGCTTTCATGGAGTTCTCCAATGGATGAGATCAACAAACAGGAAACAATAAAAAATAAGCTGGGGACACCATGGAACCATCCTGTCCTCTCTTTGTATGGCTCACAACCGCATTTTGCCTTTATGAATAACCCACTGAACAACCTTAGTCAGAATAGGCAAGTTGTGCTGATACAATGAACAATCCTAAAACCTCAAATGATTGAAAAACCACAAAAGGTTTTTATCTTATACATGTCTCTTAGGACCACAAAGGCTCTGCTCCACATCATCTTTAGTGATACAGGTTGATGTATCCTGTCTCCATCATTTCTGGAGTGTTACCAGTCTATGGAAAAGGAAAGGAATGTGAAGAATTGCTCTTAAAGAGTTATCACATTTTTCTTGGCTAAAGTATCATATGGCCATGCCTAACTTTGAGGGCAGAGAAAGGCAATCCCTAATCCTGTGCTGGGAGAAAAGAAAACCAAAATTAGTTTTTGAATCAACATTAATGACTACCAGCAAACATTCAGTCTCTAGCTTAATTCCTTAGGAGCTGGATTTTGTGACAATTTTGGGTTTCTGATCTTTTGATATGTCTTTTCTTGTCACCTTCACCTGTAACCAGCAAGTAAAACGTAAAGGGTAGAAGGGAGGAGAGTTTATTGAGTACCTACCCTCTGCAGGGCAATGTGCCAATGTACATATGTATTGCATTTCTTCACATCTTTCAGACTTCACTTTGGCTAGTGTAAGATAGAAGAGATCATTCATCAGCTTTAGTGCTGCATACAGGACTGACTAATAGAAGAATTGTAGCAGCATGGAGATAGAAGAAAAAGGAAAATCAATAGAATCTTAGAACTGGAATGTGACTAAGATCATTAAATCTAACCTTTTGAACTTACGACGAGACAAGGTTCTATTCTATATTGTCCCAGCTCTGAGCTTAAAACTGAGGGGAAAAAAGATATCACCGAGTAATGGTAGAAGTTCACCAGTAACTATCAGTCATGCCAATTCCCCCCAATTGTTTTCTGTCTCTAGATGTTTATGCCTAAGACTTCACATGTTGAGGCTGAGACCTTAAAAATTAGCAAATCTATATACTTCTCTTTTGTCTTTAAATTATGTGCAAATTCTGCAATACATCTTAGATTTAATCTTTAAAAACCTTTTCTTCTGGGCGTGATGGCTCACGCCTGTAATCCAGTATTTTGGGAGGCCGACGTGGGTGCATCACTTCAGGTCAAGAGTTTGATACCAGCCTGGCCAACACGGTGAAACCCTGTCTCTACTAAAAATACAAAAATTAGCGAGCATGGTGGCATGTACACCTGTAGTCTCAGCTACTCAGGAGGCTGAGGCACGAATCGTTTGAACCCTGGAGGCAGAAGTTGCAGTGAGCCAAGATTGTGCCATTCAGCCTGGGTGATAGAGGCTGAACAACAAAAAAAGAGGTGACCAAAAAAAAAAAAAAAAAAACCAACCAACCAAACGAAAAACCCAAAACCTTTTCTGACCTAACCTTCCACTAAAATAGCTAGATGTAGATCTTCAGCTGGAGAAACCCAAGGCCTGAAAGGCTTGGTGTCTTTCCTGGATTAGTAGTGTAGCATATGGCCCTAGAATTAAGGAGCCCCAGGTTTGCGTCTGGATTTTCAGATTCTGGAAGAAGAACCTGGACTCTTCTAGTCATGTCCTCTTGGACAAGTTATTCAACCTTTCTGAGCTTCAGCTTTCTCCTATCTACAATGAGATAATGACAGTACTTTTAGAATTAAATGACAGTGTAGGGGAGTGAGAGATCAGGCCTTTGCTCTTATGTGGGCTCTTTGGTTGGATCTAGGAACCAAATTGACACAAGGCAGATTAACAAGAGAAAAGCATACTAATTTTACTAGTTTTACATGTGCATGGGGATCCTCACAAGAGAGTGAAGTGGCCAATGTAAGATGCCTTTATACTTTTTACACGAACTACAAATCAGAAGAAAGGGGATCTGGCTAGGGGCAGTGAATTTCTTGCGGAGTCATTAGGAGAAACGTGGGTGTGGTGGGGTGTAAACTTAGTGGAAGATAAGGGTTATTTCGGAAAGTATATTCACGTCCAAAGCAGCTCCCAGTTTCCAGTCTCTGGTGATGGGTGCTATTTTCTCCCTCTGGTAAGGGACGGGTACTCCGGAGGAATCCTGGAGGAAACTTTACGGCTTGCTGCATGCAGGAAGAGATGGGTCATCAAACCCTTTCTGAAACTACAATTTCTCCAACATTTTCAACTCGAAATAATCAGTGTACCAATTCCATATATTTTTGGGATGGCGCATCCATCAGTCCTTCAATAGAAAATAAAACGATGCTCTTAAAACATTTAGCTTCCTGCCTGGCACAAAGAGCTGAATTCATACTGCCCACGCTCTCATAGCTATTAACAGCAAGTAACAGAACCCAGCTTTAAGCCTCGGTCTCCTAATTCCTGACCTGTGTTCTTCCCATCACATCACAACCAATACTTCTTGGAATGTAGCACGCAAAATGCCCCGCCTACTCCATTGGCCTCACCCTGGCCGAGAAGTGCACACGCAAGAGCTCAACCACAGCCGTCAGAACTGCGCCTGCGCAAGCGGCGTTTCTCGGTTCGCGAAGTGGCGTAACGCGCCTGCGGACTGGGCCCAGCGTGTCCTCTATGACTTACCCAGAAGGCAACGTTTCATTTTCTGGTCAAAATGGCTGGCAAGCAGGCGGGTAAGTGACTGGGGGGTCTTCTTGGCGGGCATCGTCGCGCTCCACCGTTTATTTTCGCTGCAGCTCGCTCCGTTTTCTCTCTTCTTTGTAAGTGACCAAGTTTGTCGCGGAAGGGAAAGTGGCGGCTTCAGTCCAGCCAAAAGGACGTGCTTCCCCACTCGTTTGTTGTTCCCAGGCCGGGCTTGCCTATATAGGGTTGGGGTGTTAACCCGCTGTTTGTGAAGGTGCCCGCGGTGGCTCTAACAGCCCTGGAGTTCCAGCTGCCTGTGCTCAGAAGTCCTTCCCCTCGGCCTTAGAAAAGTTAAAGGTCACAAGAAGATAACTAGTGGATGACTTTCAACCAGAATGAGCTCAGTGCTTTCTTCTATGACCCAGGTGCTCTATCGTGTGCATTGGCCCTATAAATTCTCCTGCCAGTGCCACGAGGGAGATACTAATTTCCCGTTTACGCTGATAAGACAACTGAGGCAAAGTGACCCAAGGAAGTAGAATTGGAAATTTCATTGCACCCCTCGCGCTTCTCAAACTGTGAATCAGAGACAGTCTAGCAAGGGATACGAGCGACGCTTCACATTAACCTTGGATTATCTAGAACGTCAGCTTGATCAGTAGGTTTGGAGAAATTTGAATTTATTGTAGGTTCAAACAAATTTATTGTGGAATAGAATGCAGATATTACTGGAATATTTAAAACAACTTGAACATTAAGTTGGGTTTCCTTGTTTTTTTGTTTTGTTTTGTTTTTTTGCTAATCTCTGCCCTCTGGCGGTACAAGTTGAAGTATCTTTTTTTTTTTTTTTTTTTCTTTTGAGACGGAGTCTTGCTTTGTCGCCCAGGCTGGAGTGCAGTGGCACAATCTCGTCTCACTGCAATGCAACCAAGTTGGAGTAGCTTTTAAAAAATATTGATCCTTTTCTCCCTGACCCCAGCAATTGTGAAGCTGTTAGGAAACATCAGGTTGCCAGAAACATCCGCTAACCTAATTGACATTGAGCTTTTTGGGGGTGGGGGAGACTTTTTAAATAATTATTTTATTAATTTAGCAGATATTGAAGGAGTCTTACTAAATTCAAGACACTGATTCTGTGCGTGTTTGGGAACTACATAGACCAGATCTCAACTCCCATTAGCTAACTCTGACCTTGGGTGGGATCACTTCTGTAAGTCTGCTTCCCTTGCTGTAGTAAGAGGCATGTAAATAAATCAGCTAATGTTGGTAAAGCAAATAGGAAAGTGTTTGGTGCACAATAAGTGTTTAGTGAATATTATTCTAGTCACTGATAGGTGGTTAAAAATAATCTGTCTTCCACAAGTATGTTTGTAGATTGTTGACTGATACTTGTTTTTCTAGCAGCAGTTTTATACATGACTTCATTTCCAAGGAGATGTGCTGAAGCCACATAATCTGTAGTGCACTGAGTTTGCAGGCAAGGAGGGCTGAGTGAAAGGAGAGTTTGCTTTCCTTCCTTGGTAAGGGGCTAACGCTAGACAAAATTTTAAAGGAAAATGTAAACTTGTTCTACCTCCCCTTTTGTAAAACGTCTCTCCTAAAATGTCAGGTACGGTCCTGCTGTACTTGGACCCTGCTGGGTTACTTCATCAGACTCAGCCCTGTTCCCCAAAGAATTTTAAAATTACCCATTTCTCATCCGTTTTCAATATCTGTTCCCTTGGGGGGAACTTAGTTGCTTAGGAGGAGGTAAATGGACTTCTTTTACTAATCCATATTAATGTTTAAATGACTAATGGTATCAAAATCCTCCCCAAAATACATATATTTTTAAAGAATGTAGCCAAATGAAATAACTGTAATGTCGAGTAAAATTTTTACAGGATGAGGGTCATTTAGACCTGCCAGCCTATGCTGAAATCTCACTCTCTTTTCATACAACTCCAGCTCCTTTGAAATGAAAAGTTTACAATTATTTCCTGTGATCTATTTATGAAACTACAAATGATAGAAATTTCCAAGTCCTTTTACTATCTCTCACCCCTTCATTTCTGAAGGTAACAGGGCAGGCATAAGGGCACACGATGTACCTATGGATCTTTTGTACATTCAGTGTTTGAGTTTACCCTCTTCTTCCATGACTTGCCACCATTTTCCTGCAGCCACTTTTGCTCATAAATAAAATAAGCAATTTTTATCAACAGTTTATAAACTTTTTTCTTTTAAATCTAATTCTTTTTTGATTAAATTCTTGCTGTATATAGTATATACTTTTAAAAGGAAATTTCTTTCTGTGTTTGCATTCATCAGCAAGATAACTGAGTACTGGTTGCTTGCCCATCAGTGTGTTCGTATAGTATAATTGTAGCAACTAACAGTGTGACAATGATCAGTTTCAGCATCAGGCAAGTGGCTGGATGGTATTCGAAAATGGTATTACAATGCTGCAGGATTCAATAAACTGGGTAAGCATCTGTGCTTTTTAATTTTTCTTTTTTTTCTGAGAGTATTGCTTTTACAAGTGTTACTGTGGTTCCAAAAAATATTTCAGTTCTTGTATACATCAGAAGATTTTAAAATTAAATCACATTATGTTAAATCCAGTTCCTTTTTAAAATTTTTTTGAGAGGAGAGGGATGAAAGCCTCTAAAATGTTTGACTTGGTAATGATTTAAGTAGTAAGACATTTTCCTTCTACACCCCTTCTCCCAACTCTACCACTTAAAATTTTATTTATTTATTTGAGACAGAGTCTTGCTCTGTCAGCAGGCTGGAGTGCAGTGGCGCAATCTCAGTTCACTGCAACCTCCGCCTCCCGGGCTCAAGTGATTCTCCTGCCTCAGCCTCCTGAGTAGGTGGGATTACAGGCGTGTGCCACCATGCCTGGCTAATTTTTTTTGTATGTAGTAGAGACAGGGTTTCACCATGTTAGGCTGGTGGCGAGCTCCTGACCTCAGGTGATCCACCTGCCTCTGCCTTCCAAAGTGCTGGGATTACAGGTATGCGCCAGTGCGCCCAGCATTCCACTTAAAATTTTAAGTTTTATAAACACTGAAAGTAGAGATTTTTCAAATATTAAAATTTTATCATATCCATGCGATCATATGTTTCCTAAGCTTTTTTAGAACTTGGTAATTTGCCATGAACTTCATCTTTTGCTATTGAAGCTTGAAGAAAGTATAAGCAAAAGTCACTGGTTCCTTAGTATACTATTATTTTAAGATTCATTAATACCTTGATCTCAGATTCAAACTATGAGAAAGTAGAGATGTGGTTTATTAATGTGTGTTTAAAAACAAAGTAAACATTTAAAATATTTTGTAAATGGTTTAGATAAAATATGAATTTTGTGGCATTGGATTTTAAGAGGCTCATATATTGTTTCCATAGTCTAGTTCAAGAAATAACCCATTATATCAAGTAATAACTCATTACTTTTAATGACAAAACCGCAATTACTTTTGCACCAACCTAATGTATGAAGTGCATTGAATTTCCATTGAACCTAGTGATTTGAATTCGATAGTTCACCAAAAGTTGTAAGTTATAAGTCATAAAGATATTTTACTAATTTTAAAAAAACGTGATTTTTGAGATGCATGTGCTATCTAACTTTGTCGTCTGTCATAGGATTATTGCGAGATGATACAATATATGAGGATGAAGACGTAAAAGAAGCCGTAAGAAGGCTTCCTGAGAACCTTTATAATGGCAGGATGTTTCGAATTAAGAGGGCACTGGACCTGAACCTGAAGCATCAGATCTTGCCTAAAGAGCAGTGGACCAAATATGAAGAGGTAGCACAGCTTTATCTACCTGACAATGTTGCTCATTAAGGATTGAGTTTTAGAAACGAGAAACATGTTCATTTGCGTGGTGTTAGAGTTTTCTGAGTCATGTCAAATAAATATTCTGTCAATAGTTTGGTGAGGTTAATAAAGCAAATGTTATTTCCGTTTTAGAAGAAAACCACATTGACTCTTACATGTGAAATGATTCTTCTGAAATCACTAAGCAAGTCTCTAATATAGAGAGCCAGGACTAAAATCCAGGTCTCTTGCCACCCAGGTCATTGTTGTTCTACCTCTGCACTCTGCTTCCTACTTAGATGAAAAGATCAGCCCATTGAGTGGCCCTCCAGATCCCAAGAAGAGCTTCTGTGAAGCAAACTGTCACCCCTTGAACTGCATTGAAACTAGGCAAAGGCCTGTAGACACTCATTTCTTTTTCTTCCCAAAAAGACTTCCCTCTCATAACCTATCAAAGCAACTTACCACATTATCACCACAGATTTGACATTTTAAAAAGCAGATAGTTCTTAGGTTGAGAATATGTTTTCTAAAATTGGAAATTAAAAAGTAATTTTTTTTTCTTGTTACCGAAGACCTGTTGAGTGTTTGGGATATATCAGTACGCGATGGTAACATATAATATTTCATTCATTCTTTAGGAAAATTTCTACCTTGAACCGTATCTGAAAGAGGTTATTCGGGAAAGAAAAGAAAGAGAAGAATGGGCAAAGAAGTAATCATGTAGTTGAAGTCTGTGAATGCAGCTGTTATGAAGATGGTTATACTTGAAACAAACAATTTTAAGAATTATTTGGTCTGCAGATGTTTTACTTTAAATAAATGTCTATTGTAATGGCTGGAGTTTTTGAATTCCAAACCTTACACTGAATAACTACTGAATCCATTTACTGTTAAATTTTTTTCCAAACTTTCAAGATATTTTTAGTCGTGTTTAACTGCTACCTGGAGCTCAGAGGCCACTTTATCAGTTTTCCTCACTGGTTGGATAGCCTATCAGTTTATGGAAGGATATAACTTCCATAAGTTACATCCTTGTGGAAGCTACTGAATAAAAGAAGGGGGAGTGTACCCCCTAGTTTGCCAGGATTGAGAAATAGCCTCTTCACTGCTATCCAAATAGATTTGATTTTGCATCCTATCATTTAAAAATAAATTATGTATTCACCCCAACATAGGCATGCTTAAGTAATATATATACTCCTGTGCTAACATGTATACTAGAAAATAAAAAGTAGACATTAGAAAAATGGAAGTATAAATACAAATCATACTTGTCCCCATATCCCAGTGACTTTTCCACTTTGGAAATAATTATTATGAAGTTTAAGGGTTGGATACTAATCAGTTAAAAGTTTTAAGATCATAGGGTAATTTTTTAAAATATAAATTAGAATCGTTGGCTAGGCATGGTGAGTCATGCCTGTAATCCCAGCACTTTGGGAGACTGAATCAGGCAGGTCACCTGAAGGAAGGAATTCGAGACCAGCCTGGCCAACACGCTGAAACCCTGTCTCTACTAAAAATATAAAAAATTAAGAGGCCGGGCGCGGTGGCTCAAGCCTGTAATCCCAGCACTTTGGGAGGCCGAGGCGGGTGGATCACGAGGTCAGGAGATCGAGACCATCCTGGCTAACATGGTGAAACCCCGTCTCTACTAAAAATACAAAAAACTAGCTGGGCGAGGTGGCGGGCGCCTGTAATCCCAGCTACTCGGAGGCTGAGGCGGGAGAATGGCGTGAACCCGGGAGGCGGAGCTTGCAGTGAGCCGAGATCGCGCCACCGCACTCCAGCCTGGGCGACACAGCGAGACTCCGTCTCAAAAAAAAAAAAAAAAATTAGCTAGGCGTGGTGGTAGGCACCTATAATCGCAGCTGCTCGGGAGGCTGAGGCAGAATTGCTTGAGCCCGGGAGGTGGAGATTGCAGTGAGCCTAGATCACACTACTGCACTTCAGCCTGAGCGACAGTGGCTCTGTCTCCAAAAAAGAAAAAAGGAAATTAGAATTATTTAATGTCATTTCCACTCCTAAATTCTGAAATGCTTTCTTTGGTGGAGGTGAGAGTGTGGAGCCACAGCTAGCAGAGAAGGAACAGTAGGACCTGCAGCCTCCCTGGTTTTCCAGGACAAGTCATTGCTGTGTGTGGCAGGAATGCCTTACTTCAAATAACAAAACAGTGTGAGAAACAAATTTGTGTTACATTTAAAATTTGTAAAGCAGTGAGAAATGTGTGTATCATGAAGAGCATCTTCAAATTTTTGCTAAAATAGCCTCTTAAATTGCCTAGGAACCTGCTTCCCCCGCTGGTTTTTTTGTTTGTTTGTTTGTTTTTTGCTAGTCAGATTTTTCTAAACTTGTCCTTAAATCATGTCAATTTTCTTTTGTCTGGTTCAAGACAACAAGATTACTTGATAATGGTTTTGCTCAGGTCACATTGTGACAAAGTTTTAATGTCCTACTTTGCAGAAGGAGACCAAGAAGATGGGCTGTCTAGAACCCCTTTTAAAAGCATTTGTCTATTCAGAAAATTTTCCTGAATAGATGTCTCCAAAGGCTCTTTTAACTGTGATTTCAAGATCACTTTTGCAGAACTCTGGTCTATTCGTTCAGACATCTACCATGTACGATTACAAGGAGACTAGAACTGAGGCATCTCAAAGAGTACTGTCAAGGTGTGTAGGGAGCCGGGTGGGTGGAGGGAGGCTGGGCTCTGACCCTAGAAACCATGCTTATGAATGCTGTTAATGTTTAAAGCAAGCCTAAGGGCACTGCTGAAGGACAGGGGAACAAATAGAACTGACCAAGATTGAGGTATAACAGGAACCCCCAGGCTATCCACCTGCTCAAGGTAAAAAGTGTGGCATTACATAGGGCAACCTCTGATTTTGTAAGAGTTCTTCCTAAAGCCAAAGTGTATGCCTATTCTATGTTTCCAGATTACTTCATTCTTCTAAATGAGAACAAGTGTGCAAAAGTTCTTTGAACACTATATCAATGTTTTGTGTTCATTGTAAATTATGGTTATCATCCTGCTTGTTATGAAGACTAAGAAAGTAGATCTAGTATTTGGCTCACATAGGTGAATGGGTGAGAATTTGTTAATCCATCAGTGAAGTCCTTTCATTTGAAAGAGAGAGCCTTTCTTTTATCAAAAGCTGTCCTGTGTGAAAAATCACCATGAGAGTGCCAGAAACACACAGGCTTGTCCTGTAGACAGAATGATAGGGTGATTCAGAGCTAATTCTGGGTTAGACTGCACAGGTCTGAATCTTATTTGCTCACTGTGTAGTGCTTTAGGAATACAATTTAACCTCTCCATGCTTCAGTTTATTTGGCCCTAAGATAGAGCTAATGATAGAAACCTACTTTACACAGTTGTGAAGATTGACTACATGTCAAGCACTAACAGTTTTTGGCACATAGTATGCATAATGTAAATTATGTGATGAGAAGCGAGAAAAAATAACTTGGGAAAACGCTGAATATCACCAAAGTCGAATAGCTAACCAGTAGCTAAGGTCCAAGGTCTCCTCTCTTCCTTCTATGTGGCACTCTTGTTTCTGGTCCGTCTACTCCCCTTGGGTGTCACCTCCTTGAGTGAAGTACCTGCTGGAGATAAGAAGAGTGGAACTGGATCTGCATGACAGCTTTGATTAGGATGGAGCTAAGACTTGGCTATCTCCCTGTTTTGTGTTTTGGATGGGTGACATTTTAAAACTGCCAACATTAAAATCCTGCTAATTTGCTTTGTACAGTTTAAGATGTTTGATATCTTTTATTGTTTAAAGTTTGAGATTGGTTTTGAATATCCGGTTTTCCTACATCTTGAAGAAGGATATGTTTGTTTACTCTGAAGTGGTCTAGTTCTGTTTTTCTGTTTTACTATACTTTGCAAAAAAACAGATGGCTGGCTTACGTTCACTGTTGTAGTGCACTACCTAGCATCACTCAGCCTTCCTGTTGTCAAGGTGTAGGAAGCAGTGTAAGGGATGTTGGACCTTAGGACCCCCAATTGCTAGCTCTGGTCCTGGTTCCAGATTGCATGGAAATATTTGGTAATATTCTTGCACTGAGCTATCATGGTCTGAATATTTATGTGAAGCTCTACGAGTGGTACCAAAATGTTAGTGATGGAATTGTCACTGATGGCACCTTTTCCTGTTTTTAAATTCTAGAATCTTAATAAATCCCAAGTGTACATTTTGGTAATGATTTCATTTAGCTATTTACTTTAGGGACTCCCTTTTAAAGCATTAACTCTGCACTAATTTTGACTTATGAAAAGATTCAGCAGTAAGAATAAAAACTGTGCCAAAGCCCAAAGTAATAATCCTTCACAAATAGCATGGAGTTTTAAAAATATGGGCATCCTGTGTGTAGCTTTGAAAATAACCAAAGTACTTGGAATTAAAAAGTTAGGTGAACATAAAAATTGTCATAACCAAATCCTTGACAGCTTCATGGATGAAGAGCAGATGAGTTTACACTGTATGGCAGGAGGCATGGATTTTAGGAGGGACAGCAACAGAGAGGGATGTTTAGAAAGTGAATAAGACACATAGCTCTTTGGAAAACAAGGAAAGTCCCTTTATTAGAACAAGGCATGAAATTCTGCCACTAGGTGGCGATGCCCCATAACTTTACAACTTAGGGTACATCACACCAGCACTATGGAAGATTTCTCCATTCTGCACCCCACCAACTCCCTCCCCTCCTTCATTTTTCAGGATGACAACACCTTAGAGGTTTATGGCCATCAGGAGAATTTACTACTAAGCTATATACTGATGTAATGAAATCTAATATATGTTGTGCAATGAATTATGAGATGTTATTTAGTTTCAGGATTTTATTACTTCAATCAGTTATGACCATATTTCCTTTTATATGATTGCACACTCTTTAAACATACCAGATGACTGTATAAGGAACACCTAATAAAGTCTATAGATGTTAAAATATTTTAAATGTTTTAATTTATATGCCATAATTTGTTTACATTCTGGTTATACTGGTGTTCATATTAAAAGCCATAACATGTTAGAATCTGAGATCTCAGGTCGGATAGTGCCTCTAAGTTATATTTTACTAAGAAATTTTATTGTATTAGCAATTGAGCAAGGAAGAAGAACTGAATCGTTATAAGGTGGTTAATTTTTAGCATAGATGTCAGAAAGCCTGTTCATATTCCAGAGGCTTATGATAAACTATTTAAATTGTCATTCTGGATTCTGATTATATCTCCTACAGAGAAAGAGTGTATTATTTATTGAACTTTTTATTTGAATACATGTGCCTATTTTTGCATACGTGTAAAAATGTAATTTTAAAATAAACCCCTGAAAACTTCTGGTAACATTATCCAGTTGAATAATTGTTCTGTTAGTATTATAAATATTTTAAGAAAATTTTATACATATCTATGACAATTGTATTCACAAGCCAACCAAAAAACGATAATTATTTGTTTTACAAAGGAGTCAGCTTACAATTTATCTCTTA